TCACCTCCATCAATAATGCAGAATGAATCATGATCACCAGGATTTTCATGACCCGTTCAGAATTTAATCACGTCAATCCTTCAATTAATCACGCGAAACGAGAGAAAAAAATAAATGGGAAAAATAATATTTAAAATTTTGAAAAGCATATATATTTTTTTAAATAGTACAAATAATCTTTTAGAATACTAAGATGGAATTTTAGAGTATTGTTGGAAGTTTAATTGAAAATATTATACACACACTAATTTTTTCAAATTTAAGAAATTAATGAAATATGTCGAAACTATAAAAATAAATAAAATCTAAATGTAAATGTATAAGTGCCAATAAAACTTTAATATAAAAGGAAAGAAAAACATAATTAATCATTGATCTCTATAATTTTATTAATTTTGTTTTTAATTCTTATAATTTTTTCATTATTTTCCTTTTTTATAATTTCAATAAAATTAACATTTATTCCTCAAATTTTAATTTGAAAGTTTTAAATTCGTATTGGTAAAGTATCTTTCACTTTCTCAACATCTTTTTCTTTGGGGATGGATTCGGAAACAATTATATAGAAAGGCCAAAATGCAAAAATTGTTTTTGTTGGGGAAAAGGGGGGAGGGGAAGCACCGCTGCTTTGCCCCGAAATCCGTCCTCGTCTGTCTTGGCTCAACAGCCTAACTATGTAAGTGGCCTCGGTCTCAACATGATTCCATAGTCGATAGAACTTTCTATGAAATTGTACTCCATTTTTAAAATTTCATTCTTTAATAAAATAATTATCTATTTTTAAATTAATTTTATATTTTTTTTTTTTATTAAACAACCTATAATAAATATAAAATTATTTATTAATAAGGACATTTAAAAAAAATAATTACATTTTAAAAAATTAAAAATACTTTATATTTTTTAACATTCAATTCTTCATAAAATGCTTTACATTTTTTAATAGAGGGAGTATATATAAAGGATCGTCTATTTTTTAATGTAATGCAATTAAAAAGTTATATAAAAAAATTTATATACTTAATCTTATATATTTAATATGCTTATTTTTACTTAAACTAAAATATGTGAATTTTTCAATGATTGTTTATTCAATAACATATTTTTGTTGTTGATATTATTAATACATAAATGCTAGGTTTGGATTAAGAAGGAGGGTTTGTTAGGCCTTCAACAGTCAATGTAAAACTTTGTTGAATCACACACGGATATAGACAATAGATATTTTTGTACTAATGCTAAGTCATTTCTCGTAAGTAATGCGCTGCATGGCTCGAGTGCAATGATAAATGAGTTAGGGTCGCTGCATCAACGCCTGCAAAGGCTATCGCATTATTCTAGACGAGTGCAGGTAAAGAAGTTAGCCTATGTGAGCAAGATCAGACTTGGTACTTGAAATGTTGGAACCTTAATTGATAAATCTATGGAGGTTGTTGGAGTCACAATTCAAAGAAAAATTAATATCCCGTGCATGCAAGAGACTCAATAGGTTGGTGAACAAGCTAAGGATATCCTAGGTTTCAAACTCTGATATACTAAGACAGTAAACACACGCAATGGGGTGGGTATTATTGTCAATGAGGAGTAAAAGAAGAATGTGATAGAAGTTAACAGAATTGGGGATAGAATTATTTCCTTAAAAATGATCATCGGACAGGAGACTATCAATATTATTAGCGCTTATGCACCTCAAATTAGGATAGAAGTCAATTTTAAAGAATTATTTTGGGAAGACTTGAAAGATTGATTGAGAGCTTACCACATAATGAAAAGATATTTACTAGAGGAGATTTTAATGGACATGTCAGGAGGGAGGCAGGTCATTATACGAGGATACATGGTGGTTTTAGTTTTGGGAAACTAAATAATGAAGGGCAATATATCCTTGATTTCTTTTTTACGTATGATTTTAAGATTGTTAATGCTTGTTTCAAGAAGAGGGATGAGCATTCCATCACTTATAAAAGTGGAGCTTCAAGGACACAAATTGATTTATTTTTGACAAAGAGCACGGATAGAAGACTTTGTAAAAATTGTAAGGTGATTTTTGAAGATGTTGTTATGACACAACACAGGGTCCTTGTCTTTGATGTATGTATTATGAGTAAAAACTAAAAGCGTTGACAAGTAAAAACTCCAAGGATTAGGTGGTGGCAATTAAAAGGTGAAAATAGAGAAATTTTTAAGAGAAATCTTTTGGCTGAAGGAATTTGAAAGTCTCGAGGAAGTGCTAATTCCTTGAGGGAAGACTTGGCTGTGAAGGTGGGGAAGGTTGCAAAATAAGTTTTGGGAGAGTTAAAAGGTTTTAGTTCAAGAGATAAGGAATCTTGATGGTGAAATGATAACGTATAGGAAAAAATCAAGCATAAAAAGGAGTATTTCAAAGCTATTCATTTGTGCAATAATGACGAAAATTGGAAAAGGTATCGTATGGCTAAAAAGAAAACTAATAGGGTTGTGAGTAAAGCTCGTTCTAAAACATTTGAAGAGTTTTATAATGGTTTTAAGATAAAGGATGGAGAACAAAAAATTTATAAGATTGCTTAGAGTAAGAAAAGAAAATAGAGAGATTTGAAACAAGTAAGGTGTATAAAGAATGAAGAGATAAATGTTTTGGTCACAGATAATGATATTAAAGATAAATGGAAAACATATTTTTTTAAGCCTTTTAATGATGATGGGGGTTCGTCAATTAACTTGGAAGACTTAGTAACTTCTAAAAGAGAGTAAAATTTGTCATTTTATCAAAGAAAGCAGAAGATTTTTCTATAAAGACCGGATTGCATTAAAGATCATCTTTGAGTCCTCATTTGTTTGATTTAGTCTTATATGTTTTGACTGAGCATATTCAAGAAGAAATTTCTAAATACATATTTTTTGCAGATGATATAGTTCTTATTGCAGAGACAAGAGAATATACAAATTGTAAATTTGAGTTATGGAGGAGGACATTAAAGTCAAAAAATTTTTGCCTGAATGAGAGTAAAACATAATATTTACATTGTAATTTTGATAAGGGGTCAATGAATAGTAACTTGGAAGTGAAATTAGATAATAAGACTATACCTTAAGTGAAAATGTTTAAATATTTGAGAGTGCTTATTCAACAAAATGGGACATTGATGAAGATATTACATATAAGATACAAGTAGGGTGGTTTAATTGAAGAAATATTAAAGGAGTTATTTGCGATAATAAGATATCTAATAGGTTTAAAGAAAAGTTTTATCGAACTGCTATAAGACCAGCAATTTTATATGGTAATAAATGTTGTGCTTTGATGGAACAACAAGAGCATAAAATTAAAATATCAAATATAAGAATGTTGAGATGGATGTGTGGATATACATGTAAAGACAAAATTTGAAACGAGTGAATACGGAAAAAAATAGATGGGGCACGTATTGAAAAAAAAATGATAAAAAATCATTTGAAGTGGTTCGAACATGTATAAAGAAAACCACGAGAGGCACTTGTGAGGAGAGCGAAATAGATGACTTTAAACCCTGTTAAGAAGGGTAGAGAAAGACCGAAAAGAACACTTTTGAAAGTTGTTGAGTGAGATTTGTTAATTAAAAATATTTTTAAAAATTTAATAAATGATCAAATATAATGGCGTTATATAATTCATGTAACCGATTATATTTAGTGGAATAAGACATGTTGTTCTTAACACATTAAAATTTACATGTTTTAATTTAATTAAATAAAAATATATAAAAATTAAATGTATAAATATATAACTTGCGCATGGGACTCTATGCCTATGCTATGCACTCCGTCCCCGCACTTCCAACGCAGGGTAAACCAACTCCATATCGTAATCATCGTCAGTTTTTTTAAAAAAATAATATTAATTGTTGATGGGGAAAAAAACCAAGCGAATCTAAGCCTAACCACAGATGATACTTTTAGAGACACGTCTATAAAACCTTTATGAGTAGATGCTGAAGGGAGAAGATGCATCTAAAATTTCAATATGATGATAATTCTGGAAGGGAGTGGAAAATGGAAATACACCGCAAAACGGAGAAGACAGTAATGCCCACTTTGACGTACGAGATTGATGAGCACAACACGCGTCTCCAGAACGAGACGTGGAAGCATCCCAGCTATCTGGCTGGATGACGTTAGACGTAAGGCTTACATGCCCTCCTCAACATTCTTGCAATCCGCAGGAGAATTGGCCATTTAATCTTGCAAACTAATGGAGACCAAAATTGGTAAAAGAGATATACAATCCGAGAGGAAAAACCAATCCCTGTAAAAATTGAGACACTAAAAAAAATTATAAAGATTAGAAATAAAATCTGTTAAAATTATAGTATAGGGATTAATGAATATGTTTTTCTTAAAAATAAAAATATTAATGTAAGGCAATTATTACGCTCTATTACCGTTAGGGGGTATCTTTGTTACTTCATTATTCAATTTCTTTGCGATGATTCAAATTTAAACACTTCTTTATTATTTTGAAAAAAAATATTTTACTTAATCATCTCTCTGTTTCCAATGTAACATATCTGTAACCAACCAATCATATATCATCTACAGTTCAGATTTTCATAACATTAAAAAAATAAATGTCTGACATATACAGTGAAAATCCTCACTGTATATATATATATATATATAAATTCCACGTTAAAGTAGAATATTTCTGCCCCCACACAAATTCTAGAAAGTAAAGAAACTCGTACCCTGTTCCAGGATTTCAATATCTCTTTCTACTTTATAGGGACTCATTATATAGCAGTACTGTAACTACAACACCGTAACAGAGATGTGATTATTATATAAATTAGAAGGTTTTCCACATTCAACAACTAGCGCTGCTTATCAATCTATAAAAGGATGTTGTTCTGGCAGTATGTCCAAGACCTTGAACAACCCCTTGCTTGATTTAGGCCCAAAAGAAAGGGGGGGGGGGATCGACTCACTCAACTATAAATTGACCTAAATAATGTTTTGCTTTCATTCCATGTATGTATCACCATACCACCACCCTAATATCTACAGTAATTAAATCGAAAGCCATGGAATCCCAAAACAAAGGGCTCGGAGCAACAAAGCTCGTTCTTGCTCTAACCCATATATGGAACCACACATTCAGCTTCATAAACTCCATGTGTCTCAAGTCAGCTATCGAACTCAACATTCCAGAAATCATTCATAAGCATGGCAAGCCCGTGCCTCTTCCCCTTCTCGTCTCTTCCCTGCAAATCCAACCTTGTAAATCTCCAAACATTCATCGTTTAATGCGACTCCTCACCCATTTCGGATTCTTCTCTCTCCAGAAACTTGTAGAAACTGATGATGACACTTCAGAACAAGGCTATGTCCTAACTGATTCATCCACCCTCCTTCTCAAGGACCACCCCTTGAGCGCAACCCCTTTCTTCCTCGCCATGCTTGATCCTGTCCTGAAAAAGCCCTGGTATGAGATGACCAACTGGTTCCAAAGTGACAATCCCACTTCATTTCACACAGCTCATGGGAAGACGTTTTGGGAGTTTGCCAACGTTGACCCTGTTTTTAATCACTTTTTCAATGAAGCCATGGCTAGTGATGCGACATTGGTGATAAGTGTGGTGGTTGATGAGTGTAAAGGGGTGTTTAATGGAATAAAGTCGTTGGTAGATGTTGGGGGTGGCACAGGGACTGTGTCTAAGGCCATTGCCAAAGCTTTTCCAGAGATACAGTGTACTGTGTTTGATCTGCCGCATGTTGTTGATGGCCTGCAAGGTACTAGGAATCTCAAGTTTGTCGGAGGGAACATGTTCGAGGCCATTCCTCCTTCAGATGCCATATTGTTGAAGGTGATATCTTTGCTACATACATACTCTATAATAAAACAATCTACATGCATTCATATATACTTGACAACATATAGTTGCTTTTTTGGATGTTGAATAGTGGGTACTGCATGATTGGAACGACGAGGAGTGCCTGAAAATTCTGAAGAAATGTAAGGAGGGAATTGCGAGGAAAGGGAAAGCAGGAAAGGTGATAATAATAGACATGATAATGGAGAATGAGAAGGCAGATATGATCCGTGACATATCAACTGAGAATCAACTGTTTTTTGATATGCTGATGATGGTCTTGCTTGCGGGAAAAGAGAGGAGTGAGAAAGAATGGGCCAAATTAATATGCTCGGCGGGTTTTAGCGACTACAAGATTTATCCCATTCTAGGTCCACGATCTCTCATAGAGGTTTATCCATAACAAATTCTCTCGTATTTTGAACTAATACTAATTAATTAGCTTCTAAGAAGCAGATGAAGGTCAATATGCATGTATGGCTTTTGCAGTCTGTATTATATATTAATGATGTCTCTGCGTGTTTGATGTGAGTATGCTGTTAATTGTCTGCGAAGATATAAATTATATATATGGCTTATAATAACGTTACAACACGGTATATGTGGTAATTGAGAAAATTAGGCTGTAATCCACAGTCAATTTTTTAGCATTTTTTATGGACAATGGATGTTTTAATTTAGCATGCACGGTTCTCTACTTATAAAACCCCAGCCCTAATCTTAGTTTTTAATTATTATTAAACTTTTTTAATACTCACACCATCTCAAATTATAAGATAATTTGAGGCAAAATTACACATATCAATAAAACTTAATAATGAAACTTTACAAATTTATTTTTCAAAATAAAACTGTAAACTTTTAAAAATACTTCTACACACTTAATCATTATACTACAGTATCATTTTAATTCTCTCTTCACTTGAAAGATAATATTACAAAAACATCATCAATGAAATTTTAATTATTTTAAATTGTCTTATATTTTAAAATAATAAAATAATTTTAAAAATGTTTTATAATTTAGAACGAGATTCATCGAACAATATGCAAAGTTGCAATACATATTTTTTTAAAATAAAATAATTATATAAATTTTTATATTTCTTTTTTCTCACCAAGACTCTAATTTTAGATTTAAATTTTATCATTATATTAATTTAATAAATACTTAAAATTATAATTATAATTTTAGTCATTATCAATACAATAATCATAGACTTTTCCTATTTCCCTCTTGGGCACTTTTGCTCTGATTTCGTCATGGCCCTCAAGCAGCAATGATTAGAGCTAGTGGGTGGTTGTTCAGCAAAAAGTGATCACAACACGTATATACTAATAAAAATTATTTAATAAGTAAGAATTTAATTCACAACTTATAATATTATTATGTGTTTAATTAAATCATATTGTTAATATAAAAATTTTATTAGTAAGTAATATATAAATATATTTTTAAATTTTTTTTGAGTCTAATGTTTATGTTTTAATTTTAATGAGTTCTTAAGATTTAACTCACATCATTTTTTTAAATAAAAAATAAAAAATATCATGACATATAACTTAAAAAAAAAAAGTAAGGGTTAAAAAAGGGTGTTTTTGTAAGGGGAGGTGGGGGAGTGGGGGATGGTGCTTTCAATCTCTCTCATGTGGGAGACAACAAATTGATGCACTAATGAGCTTCCTTCATTTCCAAGTTTGTGGCCACGTTTAAGTCACAATGGTGACTGGTAAGCACATCTTTGTTAAGCAAAAGACGTAATTTTGATCTTTTATAAGGAGTCTTTTAAGAGAAAATGTTGTAATTACACCTGGAATGCTATAATAAAACTCATAATCTGGAACATAACCAACTTATTATTAATATCTGACTTTTTCATTTTATATATGTCAAGTGGCATTGATATCCTAGTGTCATAATATTCGTTTAAAAAAATAGACTATAGATGCTGCTTGTCGATTAACGAATAATGGACGCTTGTTTAAATACATGTATGATTTGTAGACAACATATATTAAAGTGAGAATGATAGATAAATCTATCTAAAATAAGGAAATAATAATTTGGTCATGTAAAATATAAATAATAATAGTGAGGTATCAAGAAACCTTTTTGAGATTAAATTTTTTGTGTGAAATTACTTTAATATTTCTTTACAATTAATTTTATATAACTCACGAGTTTGGCAGTGCCAACAACCAAAATGATTCAAGAAATCATAATTTTTTATCAACAATTTTTTTTCAATCAGTAAAGTTCAATTAATTTTATGTGATTCACAAGTTTAGTATAAGTATTCATAAGTTTAATTTTAATAATAATTAAAATTATATAAAAAAATCACAACTTTCTATCAACAAAATTCACCTAATTTTATATTTGGTATTTAAAGGAGATTTGTCTATTTAAACATAAAATAAGCATTAAAATTTGAAGTAATCGCATGGGATGAATGACTTAAATATGTGCATTTAATCTCCACAAGCAACACACACGCATCATACCATACAAGTTGGTAAGGTGATTTTGTCATTTTTCTCAATAAAGTTAAATTCACCTCTGCCGAATGATATTTTATTAAAGTGGATCAGCATATGGATCTGCGGAAAATCATTTCTCATATAACTCAATATTATTTTTGAAACAAAAAAATGAATATCGAAGCGTGTCACTATATTTCAGCTTTGTGGAAGGCGACAAATTTGATATCTAAAATGAAGTACATTCTGGCCACATCTAATTTATTTCACGGTAAAATCGCTTATTTTTTTTTAAAAATTTATTTTGTGAGTTTTTTGATACTTGTTTAAATTTTTTAAAATAATCAGAATAAAAAATAAATTTTTAATTATCTTAAGAAACTATTTTGAGTAGTTTTTGAAAATAATCTAATGCAGCAAATGAGAAAAAATATTTTAAAAAAATGAAATACATAGAAATATTATAAAATTTTAAAATAATATTATAATAAATTATTTTTATAAAAAAAACAATAAAGATATCATAAAATTTATAAATAATTAACTAATAATTATTTTTTTATTATTTGAACCAAACATAAAATAATGTATGCTTTTTATAAAATCTAATCTAAAAAGAAAATAAACTCGTTGCACCGTTCGAGGATCTCGATGATATCTTTTTCAACTTTTCTCCCAACTTATTTGGTTTGCACTTGTAGATCCCAATGGTGCGCCCTTTTGTCAAACCATCTTTAGTTTGGGTTTTACAAGTTGATTTCAAGTCATTGGCTTTTAATTTGAAAAGTAATATGAAATTGCTTCTGGCTTTTTAACTTTTCAATTTGAAAGTACATTCAAAATCTCTGGACAATATAATGTCCTCACTTTAATTTGCCTAAAATTTCAGAGAAATAAGCATTACTTATACAAAAACTTGGCGTTAGGAATTTCAAATATTTATATTTATATATGGTCAAAAAACATTTATATTTTTTATTATATACTTGTACTCATTTAACATTATGTACAAATATTTATATTATATATTTAATATTCTATAAGACTAAATATATACAAGAATACAAATATCTTTGCATTTTATAATATATATTACATATATATTATTTAACACATCAACATTTATGCTTGTGTTTATATATATATATATATATATAAGTTTTACATAACAAAAATTACATAAGGTCTGTGGATTTTACACGTTTAGCTCTTCTAATATCTGTTATTAAGTTCATGTTGATTTCTTATTGGTTTACTATTATCTATTCTAGTGCACGCAATTGAGAAAAATGATCTATGTCTGTGGAGCTCATCATACTTGCATTGTTGTGTTGTCATGTGTGCTGCTCTAAGATACCTATTGCAACATGATTGGAACATTTATTAGATAAAGTTTAAAAATTAAGTTATAATTGAGTTAAAACTATAAAAATAAAGATATGATGAGTTAAAGTTTAAAAATTAAGTTATAATTGTGTCAAAACTATAGGAATTAAATGATTGTTTTTTCTTTCTTCCTTCTTCCATCACTTGACATCTTGAAAAACTTGAGACTATCGCCACTGTGAATGTTTTTTGACCATGCATGTATGTGCTCTTCATCTTAAATGAAGGTGGTATCACTATTAGAAAAATAAAATCTAGCAAGGGACAAATCCCTTACTAAATGTCATTTTTTCTTGCTAAAGTATGTTTTGGAGAGAGATTTTGTCCCTCTCTAAATTAGTAGCTAAAGCATGACTCGCTAATTTGCGAGGGATTTAGTGAGGGCTATGCCTCTTACTAATCCTTGCTAATATTATTTAAAATTCGATAATTTCAATGAGAAATTAGTCCCTCACTAATCCCTTACTAAATATGTTTATATTTAAAATTGTGATGTCACATCACCAACTATGTGTCTGTCAACTTATGACATTTTGCCAACAACCTCATGCCTTGTCAATCATTATATCACCTACTATCTTGTGCCTTATCACCCACCATGTGTGCAACAACTCATGATATGTCATTATCCACCTTGCGCTATATCACTTGCTCTTTGTCATGTCACATATTCATTATATTTATGCCAAGGTCAAGATTTAAACCCTTAATTTCTTGCCTTCCAAGCCTTATGTTCTCCTTTTTATCAGTTGATTGAAAATTACCTATAGTTATTATATAAAAAATTAAATATATATTATTTAACTATACAAATATATCAAAGAATATATTATAAAAATGTACATATATATTAAATTATATGTTAAAAATATTTATATTTATTTAAATTATTCTTTATATTATATTTTTAATAAAATATTATTTTATTAATGAAAATGAACTTAAAATAAATAAAATATTACATAATTTTATTATGAATATTTTAGTTAATTTTTAAATATAAATTTTATTTTTAATAAAAATAATTAAATATATAATTAAAAGTTATTTACAAAAGTTTTTTGTAGTAATTATTAGGATAGAGTCTCTTACTAATTATCTTATTTTACAGAGGGATTGGCGATTCCTCACTATTTTGCTCACTAATTATCTTATTTTAAAGAGAAATTGATAGTCATTTCGCTATGTTTCTCTCTAATTATCTTATTTAGAGAGAGATTAATAGTTTCTCACTATTTTTCTAACTAATTTACGTTAAGTTATAAATTAACATCTCTCACTAATTTCCTATTTTCAAAAGGAATAGACGATCCCTCACTAATTTACATTTTTCTAATAGTGTATGAGTGAAACTACTGTTGAATAGCGCCAAAATTAATAAAAATTATATTTCGGAGTAAAGCAAGGTTGTCTTTCTAAGAGTTAATAGAGTAACTATTTGAATTATAGTTATGAAAAGCTAAAAAGTGGATGGTTTTTTTATGATGAAATTAAAAATTAAATTAGAAATAAATAAATAGAGGAAGTTCAACTATGAAAATTATCAAGCACAAGCAGCGTAATCAATCACAACTCAATCACTTAAACTTAATTTTCCTCATCCACAAATTAAATTAATTTTATTTAAATTTATTATTTTAATTTTGTTATATTTTTCAAATTAT